CCCCAAAACCCCAAAACCCCAAAACCCCAAAACCCCGGGGAATTTGGAAGAAGTTGAATATAAATTATGTCTAGAATAGTGAAAGATAAGCAGAAGAGACTTGATGAGCTTCTTGAGATAGCTGCTGAGAAAAGAAGAGTTAGGAAGGAAAATGAAGCTATTAGAATTAGAAAAGCTGCAGAGAGGAAAAGCAAAGAAAATGATGATATAGATGCTCTTTTGGAGATGTCTACTGCCAGAAGTCCTTATGAAGAGAGGAAAAGGAAGGAAGCTGAGGAGTTAATTAAAGTTCCCCCAAAAGATGCTGATGTTTGTCTTAGTGTTGCTCTTGCTCAATGAGAGCACTCAATTAACCCAGCTATCAAGGATTTCTTGAATCAACCTATCCAGTGTGAGTTGGTGGAAGTATCTATAAATGATTCTGATGAGTCTGACAAGCCTGACGAAAATATCAATGTTTGGAAATCTGATATAAGAATTGAGAAAATATATGTGGATAAAAATAACATTAGTGGCCTACCAATGATTTCAAAGCTTCCAGACTGAATTACAAATAAAGAAGATAAAAAAGAAGACTTCCCAAAAGCACAGAAAATACTTGACCAAGAAGAAGCAAATAGAGTAATGGCTTCATCTACATTTGATAAATTTTTCTCTCAAGCTTCAAGGTTGATAGAAAGAGGACTCGATTATGAAGCAGATGCCATTGGATGCTTTGAAAGATTTGAAGCTGATGAAAGTGGAGTTACATCTAAAGACATTAACATAAAAGAAAATATTACCTTTATGAAAGATACTCCAATAACTAGAGCCATCACAAACATCGAATGGTCACCTCAGCATAAAGAGTTGTTTCTGTGTTCCTACTATAAATCAGAAAAAGATTGGGGCCCTAACGAAACCGACGGATTGGTAAATATCTTTTCTACACATATGCCTGAAAGGCCTGAATTAACTCTTACCTCTCCGTCAGAAATTACATCTTGCATTTTCCATCCAACTGAATCTCATCTAGTCATCGGAGGGACTTACTCAGGAAATGTATTAATTTGGGACATGAGAGAAAAATGTAACTATCCATCAACTAGAACCAAGATTCAAGGATCAACTATGATCAAAGGGATTAGTGTCGTTGGGACTCAGAATGCTAATAATATAGTTACAGTTTCTAACAATGGCATCATTTGTTCATGGTCTCCAAGTATGATGAGAGAGCCTCACAAGAGAGTCGACTTGGGAACTAATTCTCGTGATATCCCCGTCCATTGTATCGACTTTCCAGAAGGAGAAACTAATCAGTTTTATCTTGGTGGGGAAGACTTTAATATCTACAGCGCCAAGATTTACACAAAGAAGGAGAGCGAGCCAAATATCTCTGAAAGATTCTCTAATCATTTTGGTACAATATTATCTCTTCATAGTCATCCGAAAATAAGCGAGAGAAAATCTGTAACATCAGGATTTCTTCTATCAACTGCTGCTGATTGGAGGATTGGCCTATGGCATCCTGAGGCTAGGAAGGATCCTTTGCTCATGATTGAGGGAGAAGTTGAGTATTATGATGCTCAATGGTCTCCTGTGCATCCATCTGTCTTTGCAACTTGTAATGGAAATGGACAAATTGATTTATGGGATTTAGCAAAAGACACTGAAGAAAGCTGATATAAAATAGACGCTGATAAAAGAGCGATAAATAAGATCAGATGGAGCTATGACGGAACAAAACTTCTTACAGGAAATTCTAATGGGGTGGTGAAGCTATATAGTGTTTACAAAGACTTTTATCTGTCAAGAGAAGAAGACCAGGCAAAACTAGAAAGAATACTGAAAAGAGAAAATTACTAAAAGTTACAAAATTTTACTCAATATTAAGTTACAAAATTGGGGTTTTGGGGTTTTGGGGTTTTGGGGTTTTGGGG